ACTTCACGCCTTCAGGCACATCAGGCACTTCACGCGGTTCATTCTTCCTAGATGCATTCCCCTTCTTCTTCACCTTGCTAAGTCATATAAATGATACCATCAACTTGCTAAGTCTTATAAACCGATAAGAATTCAGTTAGACGGGTGTCTATAACCCAAAAGATAGATGATAATAATAAGTGCTCGTAAGAATATCAGGAAATTAGAACCCTCATACACTACTGGTGGGAATGTGAAATGGTGCAGCTGCTTTGGAAACAGTCTATATATTTTTTCATGTGTCTGTTGGCCATTTGTATGTCTTCTTTGGAGAAATGTCTGTTCATGTCTTCTGCCCATTTCTTGACTGGATTTTTTGTTTTTTGGGTGCTGAGTTTTATAAGTTCTTTATAGATCTTGGATACTAGCCCTTTATCTGATAAGACATTTGCAAATATCTTCTCCCATTCTGAAGGTTGCCTTTTAGTTTTGTTGACTGTTTCCTTTGCTGTGCAGGAGCTTTTTATCTTGATGAAGTCCTGATAGTTCATTTTTGCTTTTGTTTCCCTTGCCTTTGGAGACATGTCTAGCAAGAAGTTGCTACAGCCAAGGTCGAAGAGGTTGCTGCCTGTGTTCTCCTCTAGGATTTTGATGGATTCCTGTCTTACATTTAGGTCTTTCATCCATTTTGTGACAGAAAATGGTCCAGTTTCATTCTTTTGCATGTGGCTGTCCAATTTTCCCAACACCATTTGTTGAAGACACTGTCTTTTTTCCAATGGATATTCTTTCCTGCTTTGTCCAAGATTAATTGACCATAGACTTGAGAGTCCATTTCTGGGTTCTCTATTCTGTTCTGTTGATCTATGTGTCTGTTTTTCTGTCAGTACCATACTGTCTTGATGACTACAGCTTTGTAATATAGCTTGAAGTCCAGAACTGTGATGCCTCCTGCTTTGGTTTTCTTTTTCAACATTACTTTGGCTATTCGGGGTCTTTTCTGATTCCATACAAATTTTAGGATTGTTTCTTCCAGCTCTGTGAAAAATGCTGGTAGTAGTTTGATAGGGATTGCATTGACTGTGTAAATTGCTTTTGGTAGCATAGACAATCTCAACAGTATTTGTTCTTCCAATCCATATGTATGGAATGTTTTTCCATTTCTTTGTGTCTTCCTCTATTTCTTTCATAAGTGTTCTAGAGTTTTCAGAGTACAGATCTTTTACCTCTTTGGTTAGGTTTATTCCTAGGTATCTTATGGTTTTTGGTGTAATTGTAAATGGGATCAATTCCTTGACTTCTCTTTCTGCCGCTTCATTGTTAGTGTATAGAAACACAACAGACTTCTGTGTGTTGATTTTATATCCTGCAACTTTCCTCAATTCCTTTATCAGTTCTAGCAATATTTTGGTGGAGTCTTTGGGGTTCTTTTACACAGAGTATCATGTCATTTACAAAGAGTGAAAGTTTGACTTCTTCTTTGCCAATTTGGATGCCTTTTCCTTCTTTGTGTCGTCTGACTGCTGAGTACTTTCAGTAGTATATTGAACAACCGTGGTGAGAGTGGACATCCCTGTCATGTTCCTGGCCTTAGGCAAAAGGCTCTCAGTTTTTCCCTGTTGAGGATGATATTCCCTATGGGCCTTTTTTAGAATTATTCTATTAAAAAAATTGATAGTTAAAAAAAATTAAAACATTTAGCACAGTGCCTACCACATAGTAAGTGCTCAATAAATGTTAGCTAATATTAAAAAAACAAAAGAAATGATAGAATTGCCTCAATAAACTCGTGGCATAATTCAGATATAAGGAATGAAGTAGAATTATGGATGAGCTAGCTATAATGCTGAAAAAATCCTTAAATATACTGGACTAGAAAAGTCCTACACTAATAACAATGAACAGCCATAGTAAAAGATGTGATCTGGAAAAGAGTAACAATAAAGAAGTAGTCTAACTTGAGTTCAGTAAAAATACACCAGAATGTGACCCTGCACATTCTGAACAAATTTGTCAAAAACATAAATATCAAGATCTAATAGTCAAAGTATGATTTATTTAAGACCAAGTCATTAAGATTATGTCTGCCTGAGAAATCTGGTAGTTCACTAAAATGATTAAAGTTGACACATGGTATTCAGGACATTCTTCAGATTTTTACACTATTTAATTCAGCCTCTGTCAGTTAAGATTTTTTTGTATACCAGTAACATAAAACCTTTGTCAAAATAGATTAAACAAAAACAAGACACAAGACATTCTGAAGTAAGAAAGGTCTAGAGTTGGCCAATTTAGCAATTCAGTGACCCGTCAAGGACCTGGAGTCCCACCATCCTTCTTGCTTAGCCATCCTCAGCATATCATGGATGGTGCCTCATGGTTTCAAGATGGCTACAGCAATCTGAGTGTCACATCCTCATGTTCCAACATCTGGAGGAAGAAAAAAAAAATCTCTCCTTCTCACCTTTCCTCTCTCTCTCTCTCTTTTGATGAATCTTTTTTAAAAACCAAAAACCAGGATGCCTGGGTGGCTCAGTCAGTTAAGCTTGATTTCGGCTCAGGTCATGACCTCAGGGTCATGATCTCAGGGTCATGAAATCAAGACCTGCATTGGGCTCTGCTCTCAGCAGGGTGTCTGCTTGAGATTCTCTCTCTATCTCCCTCTACGCCTCCCCATACCCCCACCCCGCACACACACACACACTCAGTCTCTCTCTCTTTCTCAAATAAATAAATTCTAAAAAAAACACCAACCAATAAAAACTAATAACCTTTTCTAAAGGCATCTTCAGCAAACTTTCCTCCTGTCTCAGTAGCCACAATTGGGTCATGGCCCTTTCAAGACTCATCATTACAGGGAGAAGGGAATTTCCATGATTGGTTTGGGCTAATCAAGATAGATCACCTGTGGCTTGGATTCGCTTTCCTGAAGCACATGGTTAGGAAGAATACAGTGATACCTAAACCAATCTGGAGAGCTGCTGGCAAGCCTGAAGGTGTAAATAGGTTGGTTAGGCAGCCAAGAGCATCTGCTACACAGCCACAAAAATTAGCTGTTAAGTTTAGAGAAATCTGACTTCTGTCTAGATTATAGCATTTGTGGCTATTAGGAAAAAACCTTTTTTTTAGGAGAAAACGTTTTGAACCTCTATAGATTTGCAATTTATTTTGTCCCAGCTCCACACCCCTACATCATGAAAAATTTCGGCAACTGTTTTGTGTAGAAATTTTTTTTTTTAAGTAGTCTCCATGCCCAGCATGGAGCCCAACGTGGGGCTCCCAACTCATGAGATCAAGACCTGAGCTGAAGTCAAGAGTCAGACGCTTGGGAGGGCGCCTATGTGGCTCAGTTGTTAAGAGTCTGCCTTCGGCTCAGGTCATGATCCCAGGGTCCTGGGATCGAGCCCCACATCAGGCTCCCTGCTCAGCGGGAAGCCTGCTTCTCCCTCTCCCACTCCCCCTGCTTGTGTTCCCTCTCTCGCCGTGTCTCTCTCTGTCAAATAAATAAATAAAATCTTTAAAAAAAAAAAAAGATGCTTAACGTACTAAGCCACCCAGGTGCTCCTCATGTAGAATATTTTAAAAGCGTGGCCAATCCCCAATCTGTAGGCATTGTGAAGGAAAGAATCTCACTTCACCTCACGGTCAGTCCTCGAAAGAATAAGAAATTAGGTAGAAGCTGCTACAGAAAAATAGGAGTTATCTGTGAACATTTATGCCGGATAACCTACACCAGGGCTATTTTTCATTAATTGAGTCAGAAGTTTTGTCTGGACCCACAAGTGAAATGGGGGTGTTTTTGTAGAGTAATATGTCTTTGTGTAAGCTAAATAATAGAATCACTCATTGATCAATTATTAATTGTAATTTTGAAACTTAATTTTTTTAGGGGGAGGGTCATCGAATTGGTTGTTTCCCGTCTTAGTTCTTCTTTTCGTTTTTTTAATATTTCAATTATTTATTGAGCTCTACACCCAACATGGGACTCAAACTCCGGACTCCAAGATCAAGAGTCGCATGCTCCACCAACTGAGCCAGCCAGGTGCCCTTTCCCAGTCTTACTTCTAAAAGGTATTTGCTAAATGGGCACCTGGGTGGCTCAGATGGTTAAGAGTCTGCCTTCGGCTCAGGTCATGATCCCAGGGTCCTGGGATCGAGTCCCACATCAGGCTCCCTGCTCCTTGGGAGCCGGCTTTTCTCTCTCTCTCTCTCTGTCTCTCATGAATAAATAAATTTAAAAAAATCTTTAAAAAAAAAGGTATTTGCTAAATAATGTAGAGATTACAGCTGAAAGGCTTGTTTGGTGATAATCACCCAAGTCCTATTTATTGCTATTGTGAATCAGCTGAAGGCACTGCTTATCAGTAGGAAAACATCAACTTTGGGGGCACCACCCCCTGCCTGGCAACGTGATTAATTGCAGAGACCCACTAAGGCCTTTTATACATTGTTATCCAGAGTTCGTTCAGATTTGTTGTTGAAAATGAGGGCCAAAATCAAAGAAGGAAGAGAGAGAGGAATTGATATTTCTTGGGCTTTACCTATGTTTTCTCCTAATTTACTCCTTATAATAAGTGTACACATCAGTGCCACATGTTATAAATGTAATACCTAAGGACTAGAAAGGTTAAGTGACTTGCTAAATTTATACTATTAGTAAGTAGTGGAGACAGCCATTCTGACTCTAATATCCCCAGAGTCCTCTCAATCATAATGCGGTGATTAAATGGATCTGCATTGCTCTGTACATTTATTTTATTTATTTTTTATTTTATTTTATTTTTTAAAATATTTTATTTATTCATTTGACAGGGAGAGAGACAGCGAGAGAGGGAACACAAGCTGGGGGAGTGGGAGAGGGAGAAGCAGGCCTCCCGCTGGGCAGGGAACCTGACATGGGGCTTGATCCCAAGACCCCAGGATCATGACCAGAGCCGAAGGCAGACGCTTAACCAGCTGAGCCACCCAGGCGCCCCTGTACATTTATTTTAAAAAACACAAAACATTCAAACACAAGACAGTTATCTGTTGCTGAATGGTATTTTATTAGCTTAATAATTTGGGCCTGCCCTTAGCATTAATAAGCTTCAGCACTAATCACAAGATTTTCATTCACTGGTAGGGAAATTTGTTGTTTTAAAAAATGCAGTTAGAGAAAGGGCGTCTACTTCTTGGGGGCTGCCGTGACGGCAGGCTTCTCTTCACGGGTGATGGGAATGGTGCGCTCAGGGCCAGAGGCCTGCTTCCTTGGTCCATTCACAGTGAGGACCCCATCAGATGACAGGGATGAAGTAATGGCAAGAGGGTCCACATCGGCTGGGATCCGGTATTTCCTGTGGAACTCCCGGGAGATGAAACCATGTTCATCCTAATCCAAGAGAATGAGGAAAGAGATAAGAACAGGAAATAGCACCACTTGCTGAGAACTCAGACATCCTCCTTCCCCTTAAGTGTGACCATACGCCATTGCAACAAGAGAGAAAACCAAACAGCTGTTCTGTTTGGGGCTAAGATCAAGTTGCCTGGGTGGTCACTCCGACCAATGAGAGTCTGAGAAATTTGAAACAGTGAAAACTGCAAAGCTCTCCAAACTGAGGCATGGCTATTTTTAGGGGTATTTCTCAAAGGTTTAGATCAGTGTTGGGACTCCAGGATCTGGAATATTATTCAGCATTGAAGATCTGGGAAGCCTAGAAATTGTCCTGACTCTTCAGGAATGTCCCAGACCACCAGGACTGCTGCTAAAAAACAACAATAACAACAACAACAACAACACTTCATCCAGGGAGACTATGATCCAAACTTAAATCACATAAGCAAAACTGAAATAGCCCGAAGACCTCAAATTATGCTGTTTGATGCACAAGTATCTGAATTATCAATAATCGGTAAGAAGCAGACTCATTTAAAAACCCTCCCAGAAGTTAATGAGAAGCCGTTCCTCATTCTCTAGAATTCTGCTAAAAACCACCTGCCCCAACCTTTATACCAGCTGAATCTCAAGCATTTATGCAGACAGGCTCTCAATGAACTGATTTCCACATGGGCTCCAGGATTTTAGCTGCTGAGTGCAGCTCTGAAACTTAAGCAAACCAAGTAGTTCACCCTTTTAGACGAGCTAAAGATGAGAGGATTCTGGAACATCTAAAAGCAAAGTCGAAAAATCCCAAAGTCAAGAGCCTTCAGGGTATACACAACTCATTTAATTACGTAAAGTAACCAGGTGTCCAACAAGCACGATTCCTCCATCAGTGGTCCTCAACTTTGAATGGACATTAGAATTACCTAGGGAGCTTTTAGAAATGCTGATGCCTGGGGCCCACTCCTAAAAAAATTCTGATTTAATTGGTCTGGGATATGTCTAAGCACTGGGATTTATTTTTCTTCATTCCCCTAGTGATTCTAAGGTGGCCAAAAACCACAGGCTTAAATGGGAAATAAACATCCCATGTATCCCATCTAAGGCAATCAAATCAAAACAAACAACAAAACTCACTTCTCTGGCCCCAACAACAACAACAACAGGTCTATCTCTGTCCCAGACCCTTATGGCTTAAGACTGGAAGGTCGCCAGGCTCAGGGGCTGATGAGTGTCTGGCGTATCATATGCGCTGGATGAATGAGCAGAACAGAAGAGAAAACAAGCTACACACCTGGCGCTCTTCATGTTTGCCGTGCACCTCAATCACATCTCCCAACACCTTGACCTTGAGTTCCTCTGGGGAGAAGTGCTTCACATCCAGGTTGACAGAGAATCTGTCCTTCTCCAGACGCATCTAGAAATAGCAAGGTGGAGAAGAAGGGGTAGGAGAAAAGATGGTAGGAACGTGGATGACATTAGTGCAGTCTCTTCATTCTGCAGACTTGCTTGCTATCCAGGTAGTTTTTCCTCCTGTTTTTGGCTGAAAGTCCCTTTTTGAATAAACATGGCTCTCTGGTTCAGGGGAGCCACCACAGTGGTACCCAAAGCATACCATGTGGTCATCAGACCCAAACTTTATTTACAGGGACAGGAGAGAAGACCGGCCACCCAGGGGAGCAATCACGAGGATGGGTCTGGGCATGGCTTCTACTGCCTCTCTGACCCCCATGCCTGGCCTTGCCATTTGTCTGTAAGACAAAGGCCCCTTCTTCTTACTCAGACCTCTGCCAAGTTCCCCACCCACTCAATCTGGAATGTTCTGCTGGCCCTGATTGTCCTTCCAAAGCCCTTGCTCACTCAGCTCCTGTTTACTCACACTTGAATATTTTTAAACCAGTGTTCTCTGTGACAGCTCTGTCAACCTTATCTGTTCACCCCATTCTCCCACCCTTTTAGGACAAGTGGGGGTCCCAAGACTGGACCTACATTCTTTACTCATTAGGTTTGAACTCAGGTCGGTGCCCTGTCACAGTCCTGAGAAACCTGGAAAATCACAGATGAAGGCATAGAAAGAAAGTAAATAGTGTTTGCTGTCTCTAGCTCCATGCAGTGGAGATGAAAAGCTCAGAATGAGGCAGGACTGCTTCCTGACACTGAAACTTGAGATGCTAACATTTGTCAGGAGTATGAGATGTTAGAAGAGGTGAGCAAAGGGGTCTGAAGGCAGCTCTTTCCCTGTAGATCTCTATGAACCAAACCAGAAAGGGGCATTCTACTTAGAAGTTAGGGGATGGAGGGCAATCTTCACAGCACTTGGAAAAAATGCAGTAAGTAGGATACAGCAGAGCATCAAATACAAACAGGTAACGGGGGAAAGAAACAGTAGTAGCCTAGTCTGTCTTCACTGGTGGACATGCAAGTGCCTAAGACACTTAGACATAGCCAGATTTAGGCAGGGAGAAAAAGGAGAGCAGGTGGCTATGTTTCTACGAGGTTCCAGGAAGAGCTCTCCTTGCCTGGCAGAGACTTACCTCTGAGAGCCCGGTGTCAATCCAGCTGGGTGCCCGCAGGAATGAGGGTGGCCGAAGGTAGAAGGGGCTCAGGGAAGTAGAAGTTGGGAAGAGATCAGACTCTAACAGGTGCTCTCCGAAGAACTGGTCAAAGAGGCGGCTGGGGGAGTGGAAGGGAAAGAAGGGGCGGCGGATCCAGGGGTGGTGGATGGCGATGTCCATGGTGGCTAGGTGAGTGGAGGGGGTCAGCTGGCTGGTCAGCTCCTTCAGCTGCAGCTACAGCCAGCCCCTTATATACGCAGTCTTGTGAAGCTTCTGGAATGGTGATGTCAGGAGTTTTATTATCCCAGCTCACCACCCGTTCATGGAGACTTGTGATCGGGGATTTGGCAGTGTGACACATACCCAGTACTCACTGACCTAAGAAAAGAGAAATACAAACACGTCTGAGCTGGCCAGTGACTTGTCCTGGTCTTGTTTCACTAGCTTTCCGTCCACACCCAGTGGCATCCCCCCCTTCTCTGGAGTTGGAAGGGAGTCAGGAATCCCAAGCAGGCGGGTGGCGTGCCCCTCCTCCTCCTCTCCAGCCTAGTGTGCCAGGGGAATTGGGCCAGCAACTATCTTGGGCCTGGGCAGGAACTGGAATCTTCCTAGGCTGGGCCCCAGGGACATTAACTCTTTGTGGGTCCCTGGAGGAGAGCAGTGATCACCAACAAGTCAGTGCCAGGCATCTCTGTGGTGCCCGGGGTTGATCTGGGTTCAGGAGAGGACCCTGACATTAATCTGGGCAGAAGACCCTTCACCCCACCCCAAAGAAAGGGTGGGAAAGTTTCTTGCATCTTTCACCTTAGGCAGCGCGCAGAACGTTAAAACCAGGAGAGCTTTATGAAGTAGGGTACAGGATGCATGGGACTTAGAAGGAGAGGAGGAGGTGTGGAAAATGTGCAAACTGTAAGGGTCTCGGCTAAGCCTCTCCAGGGCGTCCAGCGCCAGCCTCCCCTCCCCAGCTCGCTGCCCAGCCAGGACCCCCAGCTGTCCCCTCAGGCAGCCTGCGACAGCTGAAGGGTGTGCGGGGGAGGGCACGGGGGTCCAGGCGGCGCTGGTCACACACTTGTCGCTGGCGCTCAGGGGCCCTGCTCCTCGCCCCTCCCCCCCAGAGGCTCCGCACTATTTTGGGTGGTGTAGACCCCGCCCCCACCTCCGACCGAGCCCTGGCTCTCCAGGCAGCTGGAGGGGTCGCTGCTCTGTTGGGGCTGCACCTCGGACCAGCGCCGCCGACGCCTCTGCAGACATGTCGGGCCGCTCGGTGCCACATGCCCACCCGGCCACCACCGAGTACGAATTTGCCAACCCCAGCCGCCTGGGTGAGCAGCGCTTCGGAGAAGGTACGGCACAGACGCCACCCCCTTGCCTCCCACCCCCACCTCCTGAAATTCTGGGCTGACCTCCCAGCCGTACTGGCCTCCACCCCACTCCGGGCTTAACTGAACTCCTGGGGCGAGCCATCTCCCACCCCAGACTCCCCCTCCACCCCCGCCAAGCGGGGTTCTTGTCCCCTTGCTCCTGACCTCGCTGCAGATGCCCTGCCCGCAATGCCCGGATACCTGCCCCTGTCCCCCTTGCTGTGCCTTCTTACTCCCCTTCTGTCCACCGGTCCCCGTTTGGGTTGCCCTCCTCCACCCCCATCTCATTCCCTGTCTCAGTCCCCTCTGTCCTGCTGCCACCTTGTAGCCCCTGCGTCCCCCTGCCTCCTTTGCCTACTTGTCCTGACTCCCCGGCTGCTCTTCCGGGTCCTCATCTCCTGAGCTCCTCATTTCACCCTGTTCCCACCTCATTCTCCCTCATCCTGCCTCTTGCCTTCTCTCTCTGCCCCTCAGGCCTCCTGCCAGAAGAGATCCTGACCCCCACCCTCTACCACGGCTACTATGTCCGGCCCCGGGCCACCGGAGCTGGGGAGGGCAGCAGGGCAGGGGCCTCTGAGCTTAGGCTCAGTGAGGGCAAGTTTCAGGCGTTTCTGGATGTGAGCCACTTTACCCCAGATGAGGTGACCGTGAGGACTGTGGACAACCTGCTGGAGGTGTCTGCCCGGCACCCCCAGCGTCTGGACCGCCACGGCTTCGTGTCTCGAGAGTTCTGCCGCACCTATGTCTTGCCTGCCGATGTGGACCCCTGGCGGGTCCGCGCCGCTCTCTCCCATGATGGCATCCTTAACCTGGAGGCCCCTCGGGGTGGCCGACACTTGGACACAGAGGTCAATGAGGTCTACATCTCTCTGCTCCCTGCACCTCCTGATCCCGAGGAAGAGGAGGAGGCAACCGGAGTTGCGGCCTGAGTGCCATGGAGCCAGCATGCGGCGAACCCCTTTCTACCTCCCACGGTGATATGAGCAGCTGCCCACCACCCCAGAGGTAGCAGCATCCTTGGGGGAAGGGAAAAGTGCATGGCCCACAATGTATGGTTTGGTCCCTTGAGACGTGTCATAGCCTTTGGTTTAGTTCTGGGTGGAGCTGAATAAACCCAAATCTCAGGGCCTTGTTTGTGCTGCTCCCTATTCTGTGGCCTGGACAATGGGATGGGCAGGGAGGGAGGGGGGTCAGAGCCAGCTAGACAAAAAGCTCCTCAGTTAGATGTGCCCAACGTCACAGCACCCTGAGCTCACACTTGGATGCTGAGATCATACCCGGAAGCTGACCTGACTCCAGATCAAATTCCCAGCCATAATTTTCTCACAATGCAACAAAAGAGAGAGTGATCCTGGGAGGGAAAAGGGATATGCCGTCCAAACAGCCCAGAGGGCACTGTCTGAGCTGGTGATTAGAGACACAAAAACAAGGGTCTCCAGCCTGTCTGGCCTGTTTTGGGTAGGGGTTGGGAAAACAGTTTTAGGCTGGAGGGAGTTGCCTAAAGCCCTGTTTTCCCAGAGTAAGGTCTGTCCACTGAAAATGGCCTCTCATTCTGAGCGGTGGAGTATGCGTGCGCAGGGCACAGACACTGAAGCCTCTCCACTTGTCACCAAACCACAGAGTCTCTCCAGCCTGTGCAATAGGGGAGGCTCATGAGAGAAAACATGTACATCCCAAAGAGAGGAATCACTGAATCACCCACCCAATCCAAGACTAAATGCAGGGGTCTAGGGCTAATTGAGGTGATGATGGCCAGGGAACCCTCCGTTGAAAGCAGAGGGTTTTTTTCTTTCTTTCTTTCTTTTTTTTTTTTATGTCAGAGAGAGAGCGAACACAAGCAGGGGGAGTGGCAGGCAGAGCAGGCAGAGGGAGAAGCAGGATCCCGGCCGAGCAGGGAGCCCGATGCCGGACTCGATCCCAGGACCCTGAGATCATGACCTGAGCTGAAGGCAGACGCTTAACCGACTGAGCCACCCAGGTGTCCCAATTGGAAGCAGAGTCTTAATACTAGGGACATGGTGTGTTCAGGAAAGTGTGGGTGTCTGGCTCTTCAATTACTCTCTGTTGTTCATGCACATGTTTGATTTGAGGAGTGTCCAGAAGACCTCCTTGCCCCCAAATATACGTTTTACCAGGTTGTGGTGGACACCTGAAATTCTTCCATTAAAGTGGTTGATTCGGAACTTTTTTAGGTTACAGACCCATTTGAAAAACCTAGCAAAAGCAATAGATCCTCTTACCAGAAAAAATACACATGCTATCAAATTTGCCTTACAGTTTGAGTAGGTTCACCTGGCTCTTGAGATCCATTCATATACCCCTCCCTAGGGATCTGTGGATTCCCAAGATAAGAGCCCTCACTCAAAGAATTCAATTTGTGGTTAAAGCATTACCCCTTATCAAAAATGAAAGCACGCCTCAGAGAAATAACTATTGATATATTTGTTTGTTCATCCATTCATTCAACAAATGTTTCTCAACCCCCAAGTAATACACTATGGTAGATGTACATTATAAAATAGATTTAAAAAAACATGCTCTTTTATTGTCTACTCTCAGGAACCTTAATCTAGTTGAGAAGAAAAAGAAACTAGAAAGGATCCTATTCAGACTTCAACCAGAACAACTTCCATTGATCTATTTTGGAATTGTTATGTTTATGTGAGCTTTATTTCAAAGAGAGGGTACCTTGGCTAGAAAAAAATGGAAACCTCTCATTTAGTCCAAATCCCCATACCACTCAAATTCTTTTACAACTCTTAGTCAACTTTCTCTTGGGACATTTTAAGTGACAGAGAACTTAGAACTTCATAAGTTCTTATTGGCAGTTCTTCATCAGAACTTTTTGGATGTATTTCCTATAAATTCTTCCTTCTATTGACCCCAAATCTTCATTTCAGTAACTTCTCCTCATTGGTCTGGTTATGTCCAGAAAATAAATGCAATCCTTCTTTCACTTGGGAGTCCCTTTCAGATATTTTAAAATAACCATCCCATCCTCTTAAGGCTTCTTTTCCCAAGTAAACATACCTACTTCTTTTAACCATATCTTATAGGACTTTTTAAAAGTTTATTTATTTATTTATTTATTTATTTATTTATTTATTTATTTATTTATTTACGTAATCTCTACACCCAGTGTGGCGCTCAATCTCATGACCCCGAGATCAAGAGTTGCATGCTGTACTGACTGAGCCAGCCAGGCGTTCCTAGGACTTTCCAAACCACTTATCACCTAGACAACTTTCTCTTGAACACACTGCCTTTTGACAATGTAACTCGAAATTCAACATGTAGACCTAAAATTATTATTCCAATCACGGGCTGACTGGTACAGACTTCAGTGGAATCATCAACACCCTTGTTTATCACTCTAGAATTCCATTAATGCTGCTTCAGGTATATCAGGCTTTCTGGGTACCACAATACACTGTTGATTCCTTTGGAGTTTCTGGTCATAAAATCTCTTTGGTGTTTTCCTTTACCCATTACCTCTTTAAATTAGAGAAAGTGGCTGAAAAGGGACCAGATTGTGGAGGGCTTTGAGTGCCAGGCTAAGAGGTTTGGGTAGCAGGATGAAAAGAATACAGTTAATGGTAGAATACAGAAGGAATTGCTGGGGAGAAGCATAGCTGTGAAGTAAGAGGCTAGTGCAATGATCCAGCGCAAGATAATAAAGTAAGGTGCTTTGCCATCTGACAAGTAGCTGAGAACAAGAAGTAATAACAAGAGGGGC